CGTCGAGCCGAGGTCGGACGGTCGGAGCGGCCGGACAGTTGGGCGATTGGAGCGGGCGAAACTGTATCTCCGGTACCCGATTCCGTCGGGTTATCGCCGGCTCGGGGCCATGCGCAGCGCAGGCCCGACTCTCTGGTTCAGTCCTCGAGGCCTGCGCGCGCTTGAAGCAGACGTGAGAGCTTCGTGCGAGTGTCTGCCTTCACGTTCGTAGAATGTGTTGCAGTCAGGCTTTCTAGAGATTCCTTCCAGCGCCAGGAGCGGCTTACCAAAACCGCCACGGTTGTACAGGCAGTCCTCCCCGGGCTGTTCCAGCACCGCCGGCGTGTGTTTGTTCTCTTAGCCTCTCTCGCCTCCGCGATCTCGCTAGGCAACATGACAGGAGGTTTGTGCACCAAACTATCTCTCAATGCGGCATCTTTATATGCAAGTAACGTACGCACGTATCTCACGTATAAAAAGGTCAGATGAGGCCCGTGATCTCGGATAATCATCCGCAATTCAAGCCATTCACTAACCTCAGCTCGACTGTAAGTCTTGCTTGCCTCACAGGCTCCAGCCATTGCGCAGAAAGTCAGCGCGACCGTGTTCGAGCGCTTTCCTCTTCTCTTTCGCCTCGTCCTGCACCTGCAGCACACGTAGCTGTTTAATCCAATCCCATTCCATTCTCGGAAACCCTTGCAGCGATGGAAGATGGTCAAGCCTGATTCGCTAAACAGCTTTGACACTTCTTCACACCTTGACTTCTTCGCTAGTCCAGGTAACGTCAAAGTCTCCCACAGCACCTCGAGCCTAGGCAAGATTACAACCACAGCAATGGCTCAGACAACGAACCAAGCATGCTGCAGCATTCCCCCCGTCCAGTCGGACTAGTGAGTTCCTGCGGATCCTGCTGGACATGACCTCTACAGATGGGGCTACCGTGCAAGAAAGCTTACCGCTTCGTCCTCACTATGTGTTCCCTGCTGTGCGTCTGTCAGCGCACCCAAGGGAACTATCGAGAAGCTTGGTGGGCTCGATACCTACTCTGTCGGCCCAAAGGATGCTACAAGGGTCATCGTTGTAATCTATGACATCTTCGGCTTTTGGCCGACAACCAAGCAGGGCGCCGATCTCCTCGCCAAGGCCACTGGCGCTCGCGTCGTCATGCCTGACTTCTTTCGCGGCAAGCCTTTTCCTCACGAAGATTTTCCTCCCAGCAACGAGGAGAAGCAGAAGGATCTCCAGGACTTCTTCGGCACTCAAGGCGACTTCGCAGCTCGCAAGCCCGATATTGACGCTATCATTCGTGCAATTCAGGAGAGCGGCGGGAAGAAGCTGGGCCTGCTTGGTTTTTGCTGGGGCGGCAAGTTTGCTGTACTCAACGGTGGGGAAGGAACCAAGTTCTCCGCCGTCGCTCAGGTTCACCCTGCTATGGTCAGTGCAGCAGACGCAGAGAAACTCGCCATCCCGATTGCCAACTTTCCAAGCATGGACGAGCCGAAGGAAGACGTCAAGAGGTTCGAAGAGCAGGTGCAGAAGAAGGCTTTCGCTGCCAGCAGCGTGTATAAGCTGTACCCAGACAGCCACCACGGCTGGGCCGCAGCCAGGGCTGATCTGAAGGACGAGACCAACCTGAGGGACTACCAAGACGTCTACCAGCGTTTGGCAGACTTCTATAACAGGACCCTTGCGTAGTGAGCTGTAGAGACGGTCCGGGCCTCGGTGATGTCGGGTCTCTCGAGGTTTCTCGGTGGCGTGATCACCGCTACATTGTTTCCCCTGCCCCTGCCACGCTCCGATTGCGACATCTCGATATTGCGAGCTGCTGGAATTATAGCAGGGCAGCGAGCTGCAGCTCGCTGAGCTCTGCTTGTTCTGTTGATTCAACGCTTCGGTAGGATACCGAAATAGGATCTAAATAACTTTGGGCTCTCCACGACCCTGGCGGCGTTGGCTGGAGACGTGGGAATGGAGGATGGATGCACGGATCCTCTCCTGTGGCTTCTCCATTGCTTTTCCCGAGCCGACAGACGATGCGCTTCGAACCCGAGGCTTGTGATTGAGGCGTCCAATTTTGGCATCTTTGCTCTGACAACGACGTTCTGCCTCAAATGCAGCTACTGAAGATGATCGCAAACACACCTCAATCTACGCTGATTTGCGGAGGTGCCGAAGATGTCGCCTCGCAGCGAGGCCTTGGCCTGCAGATCGGAGGTGCTCATGATCAACAAAGTAGATTGTCTATATAAGTGCGCGGAATCGGGGCGGCGTAGGACGAAGGCCAAAGACCGTTGCCGGGGATTGGTGGTAACTATTTCTACCCCGGTTGGGACGGCATACGATTCTCTTCTGTAGTAAACATGCTTTTTGGTGAAATCTCGCTTTCCTTGGATACGTGTTGAGTGATGCAGCCCTGGTCCTTTGCCGCTCTCACTGCTTTCTATTTTGTTCTAAAGGCTGCTAAAAGTCATTTATGCGGCTTGCGCCGTAGGCTGAAAGTGTGTGTTCCTCTGGATGCAGCCATATCCAAGGCATCTCCCTGGGAAGACCTTTTGCTGACGTGGCTTTGGGAACGAGGACCGCTTCCGGAGCCGGGAAGCTGATCGGACCAAGTCTGAGGCCGTGGTGCAGCTGTTCGAGAAAAGATGCAACCAAGAGGAACACATCGGCTTGAGGAATCCCACGGAGATAACCTAAAGTAGATCCCGCAATCATTGAAGAGAGTGCAGATGGGCACGAGAGTGTGCATGCAAATGATCGGCGATGACGGGCTCTCCTTGTATGCTGCGATTCGATGTGTGGCGATATGGTCCAGGAGCAGGATTGACGATACAAGCTGCGGAAGCCACAGTGCGCCCGCAATCACGGGGGAGGGGCTATAGCTTCCTGGCACATCGCATTTACCTCAACGAGTGCTTCCGTCGGCTGGGAAAGGGAAGCTGTGTAGCCATTATACTAGAACAAAAGTACAGGGAACACGATTGAACCCAGGTGTGCCGAGGCACACTGCTGCCAGGTGTCTGGACCCAGATTCCTATGCCAGCCACATCCGCGCCAGCGCTTCTACATCTGTCCATTCGAGGGAGGGGGACTCAGAGGGGCCTGCTGGCGGCGAGCCCGGAGAGACTGCGGTGAAATTGTAGTGCTCGGAACCAGCTTGCCCAGACATGCTGTTGGACCTCTTTAGTGCTCGGTCCAAGTGCCTTTAAATGTTGCATACCTTCGTCTGCAGGGCGGAGGATGACCATCGACCGTGGTGCTGGCTGATAAGGCAATTAGTCCAACACTTTTGGTAACAATTTTTTTTGCCTCTGGATCTAAGATGACGAACGATCCGACGGGAGCGGACTCAGAGCGCAATCAGTGATGCCTGACCCGCGCCGAGAGCGATGCGGTCATAGCGACAACCGGTACGTGTGCCGTTGTGGCATGTGCCGTTGTGGCAAGGGTAGGAATTCAAAAGACGATGTCTATAGTACAAAGTAAGGTCCGTAGCGGAAAGCACGAGCGTGAGAAGGCGCTGGTAGGCGTGATGCTCGTTCTTCAGGCCCACTTGCCCACTGTGTTTGCAAAAGACGGAGTCAGCAAACGAGAAGGGAAGAGATGTGCAATGTGGCACGGTGGCCGAGGCATTTCGGTAGACACTTACGGAGACTCATGACGCCTGCGCCAAAGAGAAGGCTTGCGAGGGCGACGGCGAGACGGCGGTCGCTGGCGTCGAGCATGGGACCGAAGAGGAACTCCTTGGCGAGGAGATCGACAAGCGCGCCGTAGAGAAGCACGCCGGCGGAGATAGAGTCGAGAACGCCGATTGCGATGATGGTGGAAGGGTTGTTGGGCTCAAAGACTGTGCGGACGCCCGTTCCGAGGGCAATGCCGACGGGCGTGACAAAGGCGTAGGCGAGAAACATGGCCGCCTGTTTCCTGCGCCGCCCGACAAAGTCGAGCGCTGCCATGCGTGTGCCGATCGCTGTGCCGCGGGCGCCGAGTAGGGAAGGTCAGTACGGGTTGCGCTTCGCCGAGCGGGCGGGTGCGACAGCGGAGTACTCACCAAAGCCATCAAACATCTGGTGAAAGACAATGGCGATAAAGTAGGGAACGAAGCCGGCATCGGAGGCTGTGCCGAGGCCGAGACCGACCATGACGCTGTGAAAGACGATGCCGCCCTCGATGATCATGACGTCGAGCTCCTTGGCGCGTTGGCGGAGCTTGGCATCCGCGAGCTTCTCTTCCTGCTCGATCATCTCGTTCCTGCGTAAGCGCTCGTTCAGCATGTCTGCATCAAGCGGTTTGGCTCCATCCGCACGGCTGCTGCCGTCAGGCGTCTTGCCTGGCACGACCGCTTGCCATGTGGGGAGCGAAGAAGCGTTGTGCAGCATGGCCATGTCGACGTCGACGGGTGCTGGTGAGTCGATGGGTCGAATACTGAGGAGCGTGAGCGATTCGAGATGCGCCTTGTCCTTGGCGCGTCGCGCCTTGAGTTCGTCCATGGCCTTGCGCGAGCGGTGGATGTGGCGCATGAGAAGCATGTCGACGAGGAAGATGGCAAAGAGGGATGCCACTGCACAAGAAAGTAGCGGAGAAAGTCGGGCGTCAGAGTCGTGCTGCTTGGTGGCCTGGTGTTGAAGCGTACTTACTGGAGATGGCGGGCGCCATGGGCGAGTAGACAAGGTTGAGGCAGGGCGAGCTGAGCTGGATGAATGCCTCGTAGGTCAGATGCACAAAGGCGGTGGCCAGGATGACGCCGGCTCCAAAGCACTTGCCGATGAAGAAGAGCTCGTCCCACCAGGTCCGGGGCAACCCCGACGCGTGTCCGTGTGCGTGCGTATGCTGATCATCGTCGTCATTGGCAGCCGGTATGGGTCGGCTCTTGAGCCAGAGGGGTACGAATGGCAGCACGATGCCGATGGAGCTCGAGACAAAGACTACAAAGATGGCTGCGATGTGCAGGCTCAAGGTGTAGGACTCGTTGCCTGCGCCACGTCGCCGGCACTCTTCTGGAAGCGCAGAGTCATCTGGCCTCCCGTTGATCGCTAGCACAGTAGGGGCAAGCGATGCAGCGACGAGAACCAGAAGCATCGTCGTCGTTGCGCTGCGATCTAGGCCGCCCGTGGTGCGCGGTCGAGAATGTGCAAAGCTTCGATGCCGTCGGACTTGTGCTGGAGTATTAAGGGGGTCAGCGTCGACGGGCATGCATGGCATCCGAGAGGAGTTCGCGACGAGTTTGCAAGAGCGTGGCTGGACGGAAGCGCGACTGTCTGGCTTGTGTTCCGAGGGCGATGTCTATGAAGAAGCCGAAGCCGAAGGCGGCGCGTCTGGGTGCGACGCACTGATGCTGGCGAGGGTCGCTTGCAATGCAGTATCAGCTGATACAAGGCCGGTGTGTTGATGATGGTGGTGTGTGAGAAGCCTGCAGCGAACGCCAAGCAGCAACGTCTCGGGCACGGCAGCCCTAGCCAGCAAGCATCGGAACGGCACGGGTCTGCGGGGCTGAGAGGTGGAGCATAAGCCGAAGCGAACCTGTCAAAAGCTTGGCATTTGAAGGGGGACCGAGGCGGGCACACGGACACAAAGTCACCGCAGCTGACCTGCACACCGAGAAAAAAAGGGGGAAAAGGGAAAAACTAAAAACTAAAAATTAAAATTAAAATTAAATGGCTGAAGTCCCGCTCACCAGTATCGGAACGGGTTGAATAGATGCGCCTGCTGCTGGCTGGACATGGTCTTCTCGCGGAGGTCCGTCTGGTTCACATTCTATGAGCTGCATTACATCAGTGAGGGTTGCGGCTGCTAAGACATAGATGCTGTCGAATTGATTGCTAGAAGCGAGATCGTTTTCGAGAACTTTGCGGCTGTTTCGCGCCCAGTCTCGTGGTGGTGGATTGTGCAGCGGGGTCCGAGGCAGCGGAGGCTGGGTCTTCGTTACCCCGCTTGATGTTGGCGATTTGTTGGCGCCGACGCAGCTGTTCGTCGCGAGCGGCATTTCGGGTCGGCGAAACGCTTTGCGATGGAGTCGGTGCAAAGGCAGAGGCCGATGGGGTCGCAGGTGGAAGAATTTCTTGATCCTCTTCTGTCCGTGTTTCGCGCGCGTTGACGTCGATGTCGCCGCGTTCGGAAGTAATGGGGGCAGCCAGTTGAGCTTGATCACTGGATGACGGCGGGGCTGGAGAAGCGCGTGCAAGGAGGGGGCGCTTGACAGGCAGACTCTCCTCCTCTTGGCTCGTGTCCGAGTCGCTCGCCTCCATTGGGCGTTCGGTCTTGATCCGAGGGATTGACCCCGCGGCAACGACGGCATTGGAAGGAGATGAGGATGGCTGTCGTCTCGGCCGTTGCGCTGCCGTGGGTCTCACGATGTCGGTGGCGCTGAGCGTGACGTCGCCGTCATCCTCGTGCGACTGAGCGTCAGAAGAGAAGGGAGCGTCTCGCTCGTGCTTGCTGGCTCGGGCGTGGTCATGGACTCCGTCAGGGGAGCGAGGCGGTTTGAACCCGGGCGGGCCGAAGAAGAGCATGTCGTGATGACCGTCGAGGCCGTGGTGTGCCGTGGGGTCGTTTTTGATTCGTTTGGACGAAGCGGCTGGGCGATCGACGTCTTGTACGAGATCGTCCTCGTCGCCATCAGCTTGGAGTTGCAGGAGTTGGGATGGTTTCCCCGCATGCGCCAGAGCAGTGGCTTGAATGAGTTTGAGAGAGCGAGCCGAGATCATGCGCTGGATTGCGCGATTGTGTTCGGATGCGATGCTTGTGACTTGATCTTGGCTTGGCGCATGTGCGATTGCTGCGGCTAAGGAGAGAAGAGGTCGCACTAGATGTGTCGAGAGAAGAGTGGCGTGCGCAGCATGGCTCAAGGGATCAAGGTCGAAAGAAGTCTTGAGCTGCCGAGCGCTGCTGGCGCTACCGGCAGCAGCTTGTATGGCAACGGAGCAAGAGAAGCGAGTGCATTCCAGCTCGATGGTGGCCTGCAGACCAGACAATGTTGCGTCGAGCGCGTCATGGATGGCGGCAGCGAGATCCGCTAGACGAGCGTTTGGATTGGGATCTGATGATGACGATGGTGGAGAGCCGAGATGGGACCGACGCTCGAGAGTGCGTAAAGAGACGCCTTCGTAGTACGCAGCGCAGGTGTCGCAGTCGAGGACGAGAAGGCCGAGCTGGCTATGCCTTGTCGAGTAGGCGAGCTTGTAGAGCACCACGGATTGTGCGATGCGCAAGGGTCGGAAGGGCAGCTGCAGGAGGAAGTGGTCGAGTTCCTGGGACCATTCGAGGAGATCCACGTGCCCTGCGTCGCTGCTCATTGCCATGGTTCGCAAGAGGTCGATGGTGGTGCCGTGAGAGGAACGGCAATCTTTCCGGGTGCAAAGTCGTGCTGCATGCCCATGCGCGCTGGACCCTGAAGTGGAGGGACCCGATGAGGTGTAGTTGCAATCGGCGATGCGATCGGACACGGTCGTGCGCTCGAGCGCTGTGACGCAAGAGCGCGGATCGACAGAGGCAGCCACGGCGGCGGCATCGGAGGATCGGCGAGCGGCATTTCCTGATTTGGAATGGGCATTCCCAGGTGCGGAACGCGGCGCGTCGATCCGCGCTGGTTGGGTGCCGAGAGCGTGCGGGATGCGAGATGCGGGTTGCGGGATGAGGGATGGCTGGCACAGGAGCAGTGTGCCAGACGCGTACGTTCCACGAGTGCGGAGGACGGAGGGCGGCGTGCGGGACAAGAATGCGGAAGGCGCCTCCAAAGCGCGGCTCTACACCAGCATGGCCCCAATTCCATCCGCACCGGTTGATCCACTTGGGATCAGCGCTGGGATGGACGGAGCACCGCAGCCTCTCACCACCATCGCGGTGCTCATCCATCCATCCATCCGTTCGTTCGGCAACTCTACCGCTGTCCACACAGCATTGCTCTGCCAACTTCGGCCCGAACAAAGGAAAAGGCGCACGTTGGTTCCTGTGGCTGTTCCTAAATTGGCATCCGCGGAAGTCGGACAGACGGAAAAAGTCAGCCCATTTGCCCTTGGAAGCAGCGGCCGCCAAAGTGTTGGTTGTTTGCCTTACGAAAGCGCTGCACCGCACTTGCATAACTCTCTAAATCGAACCACTTCTCTCCACCCTCGTCCTCCTCCTCATCGTACGATCAGCTCAGCATGGTCACCACTCGGTACGTACGCTCCGTTCCGAACGTCGGCTTTCGGAAACCAAGATTCTCATTTTCCTGCTTATAACCTGCTTATAACTTGTTCTGACCGCCGCTTCGCTTGTCTACATCTGCCTTCTTCCATCTCTTCCTATCCTTCTAGCTCTGCCTCGCGCACACCGCGCAAGTCTAGAGGTCGCGTCTCGTTCCCTTCCGACTCGGTCGACAACTCTCCGGCTCCTGCCACCCCGACGCCCGCTCCGCGCTCCAACTCGTCGCGCAGCTCGCCCACCAAAAAGTCGTCCTCCTCCTCCTCATCCACCCCGGCCTCGCCTGCAGTGCGCCGACGCAAGTCCTCCGTCATGAGCCAAAAGTCGCTCTCCAAGGAGCAGCTCGGTCCCAAGACCACCCACTACGAGTTCGCAGGCCCGCTCGGCGCCGCCTTTGTCTCGCTCACCGTGCCCTTCTTCTCCTACTACCTCTACTTTGGATGCTCCGAGAAGCTCGGCTGCGACCTCAGGCTGCCCATCGACAACCCCGATGCCATCCGCTCCCTCCTAGTCCAGGGCGTCAAGGACAGCCTCTTTGACACCACCGCCTGGTCCATCTACGCCGCCTGGTACGCCTTCACCGTGATCGCCTGGCTCGTCCTCCCCGGCAAGGACTTTGAAGGAACCGAGCTGCGCACCGGCCAGCGCCTCCACTACAAGCTCAACGCCTTTGCCACCTTTGTCGTCGCCATGGCCGCCTCCGCCGCCTGGATCTTCGTCAAGGGCGCCGACTCCTTCACCATCTTCTACCAGCACTGGCCCGGCCTCGTCTCGGCCGCCCTCTTCAACTCGTTCGCCCAGGCGGTCTACTGCTACCTCGTCTCGTTCGCCGACGGTAAGCTGCTCGCCCTCGGCGGCAACTCGGGCAACGTGCTCTACGACTGGTTCATCGGACGCGAGCTCAACCCTCGCATCGGCTCGTTCGACATCAAGTCGTTCAACGAGCTGCGTCCGGGCCTCATCCTCTGGGCCATCCTCGACATCAGCTGCGCCTGCCACCAGTACATCCAGCTGCGCGGTCGCATCACCGACTCCATGGCCCTCGTCTGCGCTTTCCACCTCTGGTACGTCGCCGACGCCCTCTTCATGGAGTCGGCCATCTTCTCCACCATGGACATCACCACCGACGGCTTCGGATTCATGCTCTCCGTCGGCGACCTCGTATGGGTCCCCTTCGTCTACAGCCTCCAGGCGCGCTACCTCGCCTTCCACCCCGTCCACCTCGGCATCGCCGGCACCGCCGCCATCATCGCCGTCAACCTCGCCGGCTACTACATCTTCCGCGAGGCCAACTCCGAGAAGAACCAGTTCCGCAACGGAACCAACCCCAAGAACCTCAAGTACATGACCACCGCCTCCGGCCGCAAGCTCCTCACCTCGGGCTGGTGGGGCCGCTCGCGCCACCCCAACTACCTCGGCGACTGGACCATGGCGTGGGCCTGGTCGCTCCCCTGCGGCTTTGCCACCCCCATCCCTTACTTTTACGTCGCCTACTTTGCCGTCCTCCTCGTACATCGCCAGCTCCGCGACGACGAGGCTTGCCAGAAAAAGTACGGCAAGGACTGGGACAAGTACTGCAAGCTCGTCCGCAGCCGCATCATCCCGGGCATCTACTGAGCCCGCGTACCTCCTCGCTCTCGCCTTACGCTCCGTCAGATAGCCTTTCTGTAAATACGATGCCATCACAGTACGTCAGCGTGTCCTCGTGCAGCTTTGTGAGGCGTCAAGTGTTGTTGAGGGTGGCCGTGTGACATGGCCGCCAAGCTTGGCAGATCTAACACGCTGAAAGAAGCGCGATTTTCGGACCCGACTCGGCTGGCGGATTCTGCAGGTGTTGGTCTGCCAGGCCACGCCGACGCTCTGCACGGACTTGTTCCACCACCACCCACCGACCTTGCTCGCGACCACCACCACACACCATCCTCAGGCCAACACCGGTCTGTAAAGCAGTCACAGCATGGCTGCGCACACTCGATACGTCCTGGCCCTCCTCGCGGTGTGGTCTGCGCTGGTCTGCTTGGCATATGCTGGCCAAGACTTCCGAGGACAGATCCAGCCCAATGCTGAACTCGGCCATGTCATGAATCTCGGGCCCAACACCAAGGTCCTCCTCCGCGCAATTCCAGCACAAAAGCCCGCCGAGGCTGGCATTCCCTCTTCTGACCAGCTGCCTGCAGCAGATGACCACCAGACAGACTTGGCAGCATTCGGGCATCGACGCGACCGTTCCACGCTCGTCGCAGTAGACGGCAGCTTCATCTTTCGCAACGTCGAAGAGGGCGCATATACGCTCCAGATCGTCTCGCGTACACACATCTTCGAAAAGTACCGCGTCGATATCGTCGATCGAGAGCTTGCAAAGGCGCCTCAGATCCGCATCTTCACGCCGTGAGTAGACGCAGCCAGCCGCTTGTTACGCAAGCCAGGATCACTGACGCTCTTCCGTCCTTCTGTGTCGTTGCAGTGGAACCTCGCTCGTATCGATCCTCTCTTCCAATCTGGTCTTCCATCCGCTCATCCTTCATGCGGTCAAACGCGTCGACTACTACACTGAGGCGGCACCTCTGACGCTGGGCTCGCTCATTGGTATGGGCGGTCCGATGATGATCCTCGGCCTCGTCGCCATGGGCATGGTCTTCATCCTGCCCAAGCTTACCGCCTCGCTCGACCCCGAAGCACAAAAGGAGCTCGCCGACTCGCAAGCACGCATGCAGAAGCGCCTCGCTGCCGTTCAGTCCGGCGACGTCTCGAGTCTGCTCTACAAGGACGACCACGTCCAAAAGAGTCAGGCGCGCGAGGCCGCTGCCAACAACGCACGCGCCCAACGCAACACCGGACCTTCCAAATGAGCACAATCATAGACGCTGCTCGCATCTTGCATTCCGCCTTCGAGTCTACGTTCTACACTACACCATAGGCAATTGGAGTCCAACCGAACCGTCCTGTGGCTGTGCAGGCTGCAGCGAGCCTACGAGCTTTTGAGACTCGAGGTTGTTGGCAAGCAGATACCGGAGAGCAAAGATGGCGTGCTCGCGCATGTCTGTTCCAAGCACGACGGACAGGATGAGAAGGATGATGAGTATAGAACTCGTTGTGATGCCCGCCGCCAAATCAACTTACAGGGATTCCTTTCGTCGAGCACCGTCATGTTGAGCACGTGAAACAGGCCGCCCTTCTCCCGCACCTGGTCTTGCACTTGCCGGATCTGCGTCTTGGTGTGCTCGGATGCCGAGGCGCTGACGTCTGCCCGTGTTGGCGCGTACACCAGCGAGCCGAGCACGCGGACAATGTCGCGCTTGAGGTGGTCAAAGCCATAGCCTGCTTGCTTGGCTTCTGCGTCGCGACCTGCGAGACCTGTGGAAGACAGTGCGTGCCCTTCGGGCATAGGACGATCGGCATATGCATCGCCGCTGGGTTGCGACCCGTCGGCCGGCTTCGTCGGCCGGAAGGGCGAGAGTGCGGGAGCATACTGGTGCGTCTGATCGAGCAAAGCAACGAGCTCATCTACAAACGCCGTGTTGCTGCGCATGCTCGAGAGCATCCTGACGGAAAGCGCAGAAAAGCTGAGGTCTTCTCGAGGCACCGTATCTTCGGGCGAGAGGCTCGCATCGCTCCATCCGTCGGCAGTCATACTGACGGAGAGGAGACACTGCAGCACAAGTAACAGAGCGTGGTGGACGCCGATCAGCCTTCGATCCTGTGGCTGCGCGTCGGCGTCGGCGCCGTCCTTGGCTGTGCCTCTGGCCATGGCGTTGCGAGCGAACCTCGAAAGCTGGGCAAATGCATCGAGTAGTCCCAACAACCCAGCACCCCCGACAACGTCCATTGCGTTGGAAGATACGGTCTCCGGCGCGATGTGTGCCATTGTTGGGCCACCAGTGCGACTCGGTCCAGGCGTGGAGGATGAGTCGATCGAGATCGCTGCTTGCTGTTGGCTGGAATGCAACCAGCTGTCAAGAAGCTTGAGCAGGATGAGCTGCGAGCTCGAGATGACGACCGGTTCGGACGGCACCGAGCCGTTCGCAGCCAAAGAGATCTCGTCGAGGGGAGACAGCGCAGCAAAAAGCATCGAGCTGTGCCCCGTCTCGAAGAGGATCGAGAAGATGGTGTAGATAAAGCCGAGCGATTCCTCGAGTCTTTCCGTCTCGATCTCGGGATCGTAGTCGTTGATGGACCCATTCGTTCCGACGGACGCGGTGCGTAGCATGATGCTTTCCGAGGCAGACAGGAGCGTTTCAACGATGCTTAGTCCCTCGGTAAGCGTGCAGAGATCCATACACCGACGTCGTGCATCAGCGTTGCCGTTGGGTGCGCGAATGAAGTTGATGAGGAGGATCTGCGCAGCGCTCTGCGTTGCCGTATCGGGGGACGAGAGGAAGTTGAGTGCGAGCTTGTGCTCTGGCTGAGAGGTCATGACGATGCGGGGCCACATGAGCTGCTGCACTTCTTCGTTCGCCGTGATGAGGTTCGAGAGCATCTGGATGGCCGCGCGTGCCAGCAAGAGCGTGTCTGGATCGTTGAGAGTGTGAAAGCGAGTCAAGTTGGTCAAGAGAGGCGCCACGTTGTCGAATCGACTGCACAAGATCGATTGCGCCTCGGCACATCCAGCCAAAGCATTGCGAAGAGCTCTTAGACAGAGTGTAGCGATGTGCGATACGCGATAGTATGGGTCTGCACT